GCTTTGCCTCTGTTTAACATTCCTATATAAAAATACATAATCATAATGATGAAAAGGGTACTCGAGAAAAAAACAGGAGCCAGGGAAAGATGAAAATGGCATATGAAAACTGAGGCAAGATAACTTCAAAAATAAATAAAAAAAAATACAAACCTCCAATTACAATTGTATTTCAACTGTACAATGAATATAATTGAGAAAAAAGATGAAACCATGAGAAGACTATGAGATACGTTTGGTTGCAAAAGTTACAGTTGGTAACATATTTTTAGATTTGAATGTAACCAGGACAAAGAAATATAAGGAACAAGAGAATACTGTAATGAAGAAGGGAAAAGAGATGAACCAAGATGAACATTGAATAATACTGGGGTTAAGTTAATGAATATATATTGTTGACTTACTTACATAGAATCCTCTTGTTTTTATCACTTCCATCATCAACAGATTATCCACTGATTAATGGTTATTTTGAAGTTTAACTTTAACCAGAAAAGAATTGATTTCACAAGCTATTCTTATGACAAGAGGATAAAAACCAAACAGCTCCCTCCAATGAAAATAAAGCATAACAATTACCATAACAACCGTATTTTTTGTATTGAAAATAAGTAAAATGGCTTGTCCTTTAAAACCGGTTTTTGATCTAAGCCCAGCTGACCCAACTGTCAATAATTTTGTTTGTGGAGCTTGTCAGAAGACATTTAGTGAGAAGAGAAATCTTCGAAAGCATGAAAATAATACTCATGGCAGAACAGCAAACGGATTTAAGTGTGTTTTGTGTAGTGAATTAATTACCAACCAGGATAATTATGTTTATCACCTCAAAATACATCATGATATCCAAATTGAATTAACAAACTTGCGATTTACATCGAGGCAAGGTGAGTTCAAGTTACTAAATTTTTGTTATAAAGAAGCTAATTTATTTACGGGGGTTTACGTGGGTTTAGAATTTGATGAATGGAAGAGGCAAATGGAAGATGAAACTTCATCCTATTATACAATTAGTTCTTCGAATCCAAATAGAAAGTATTATGATTGTAATCGCTCAGGAACACTTGAACCGCAGCCAGTAAGATCGAGACACATGAAGATTCAAGGTTCGAGAAAAATAGGAGGAAGGTGTCCATCAAGAATAAAAGTTGAACTGATTGATGGCAATATTAATGTGTTGTTCTACAAAACTCATATTGGTCATCAAATTGAACTCAAACATATTAATCTACCAAGAGCAAATAGAGAAGAGTTAGCGGCTTATCTTTCAATCGGTATGAGTCGCTGTGCTATCTTGAACAAAATCAGGATGACTTGGAGCAAAGAGACAGTAAATCGAGTACATCTCACCTCGCAAAAAGATTTACAAAACATAACTAAGTCGTTCAATTTGAAAGCAAATGTTAACCGAAACGCGAATGACTTAGTGAGTGTTGAATCTTGGATTGCAGAAATGAGATCTTCTGAACAAGATCCAATCATACTGTATCAAGAGCCAGCCGAAGATGGATCAAGCTCTTTTGTGTTAGGAATTTCCACAATCGGCCAACGCTATCTACTGGAAAAACACGGAGAAAATATTATTGCTATTGATTCAACTCATGGTACCAATGATTACGACTTTCAACTTACTACAATTATGGTGGTCGATGAAAATAGGTAGATCATGTTTCATATTATCCTAAACTAAAACTTAAGCTACAATAAATAACTCACAATATTTTTATTTCAGAACTGGCTTTCCTGTTGCGTATCTCTACAGCTCAAAGGTTGACACTGAAACTTGTGTTACCTTTTTCTCAGCTGTCAAATCAGTTTGCAATATTAAAACTCCAAAAGTATTCATGTCTGATGATTTCAATGGCTATTATAATGCTTGGTGTATTACTATTGGTCCACCTGAGCATCATCTTCTCTGTACGTGGCATGTATTGGAACAAACACATTTCAACTATTCCATGTCCAGAAACAAAAAAAGAACTCAAAAGAGATTTATTAGCCGTTCATCAACAGCTTGATGAAAAAGAATTTTCGGCTCTTTTAGATTTCTTCTTAAAGAAATATGAAAGTAAAAATGAATCAAAAAGTTTTGTTTCGTATTTACGACTCAACTATTGTAACAGAGTCAAACAATGGGCTATGTGCTATCGAAAATATCTAGGAATCAATACAAATATGCATCTGGAAAACTTTCACAGGTATGATCTAATTTCAAATCTTAATTCCAAAACTAATCTTGTTTTTTGCCATTACGGGGGTTTACGGGGGTTTAAATTTTACAGAAACCTGAAACATGTTTACATGGAGGGCAAAAAAGTCAAAAGAATGGATGACTCGATCGCATGTTTGATGAAATTAACCTATGGTATGCAATATGAGAAACTCATACGGAACGAGAAAGGTTATGTTCCTTCAAAACTAACTGAATTGAGATCAAGACACGAAAGTGCACTGAATTGTTCATTTAGTTTTGCTCCGGACGCTTTGGAACCTAATAAATGGTCAGTCGTTTCGCAAAAAACGAATGAAATCAACATTTATTGCGTATCAATCAAAAAAGTCAGCGAATGCAATTGTTTACTTTATTGTGAAAGCTGTGATGTGTGCATGAAAGAAGTCAGTTGTGAATGCTATGATTTCGTGATTCGTGGGAACATGTGTAAACACATTCATTTTGTCGCAATGAAGAGAAAAGAAAAACTTCCACAAACAAGCACAGAGCAAATTGATGATGATGATGATATAGCTGCAGATTTGATTATAAATTCATCCACTGCTGAAGTGAATAAAGTAGATGATAGCTTGAATTTACTTCCTGTCACATCCAAAAAAGCTGATTTTGACTCGCGCAAAAGGCAATTGATTACTGATTTTTGCTCCATAATAAACGATTGCAATTCCACTGAAGAGTTGGATGCAATACAAAAGTTTATTACACCAATGCGTCCGACAATTGATGGTATTAGAGCGTCAAGCGAAAAAGTGATCTCTTCAATAAGTGGTTCCCAAGGATCTGGATCAAAAGCTGAGAAGCAAAAAAGGTTTGCGAACAAGAAACGCAAAAAACATAAGAAAAATCCCGAAGAAAGTTCAATTTCCAAAGAGCTATTTACTAGTCGTATTAATTTTGAATGAATTGTTAATAAAACATTTTTATGTTCGAAAAGCTGTTTATTACAAAAATAATGAATTTTTATCATTATCAAAATACTCTTTTAATTGAGAAACAAATAGAAAAATAGAAAAAAACGGAAATAAAAAATAAGGGGGTTTAAGGGGGTTTAAGGATTTTTGGCCTTCCTTCCTCTTGGCTTGCCTGCCGATCGAACCCAGACTCGAGGACCAATGCAAGGGGTTGGACAGGGCTTTTCGGGGTCCGAGCCACAAACATGATTAGGGGCACCAGGCTCAGTGCAGGTGTCCCGCTCATGGACATCGGCCCCATCCTTGCGAGCAAATGTTTTGCCACAAAAACGGCAGGGTGTTTTGGGGTCGATGCCCCATTTCTTCCTCTTCTTCATCTTCTCTTCCTCCGCCGCAAGTTCGGCTGGAGCAAGATGAGCCCACCGGTGGCCTTTTTTGCCAGTAGCAATTGGACCCTGAAACGAAAAAGAAAACATGAATTAATATAAATGAATGTCTAGATAATAAATATGCGAAATCCGATGAATTTTCAGCGAAAAGATACTTACATAACTTTCAGGCTCCAGGTCAGGACAATCAAGCTCCTCATCAAAATAGATGAGGGGCTCATGCTCCACCAGATTGCCGATTACCCGGCGCTTAAGCTTTGAATTGTAAGCATATCCTCGTTTGAGGATTTTGCTCACCGGGTAATCGGCCTGGCCCACCTGAGCTTTGGGCAACCCTGAGCCACAGGTCTTTTGTGGAGGTACGGGTGGAAGCTCAAAAGCTTCGTGATCAGATTCCTGAAAGAAACAAAAATGTTATTAATTCATAAAACAGAAAGAAAATTGTTAAGTTACAATATCAATAAACATACCTGGTCATCCTCTGATGATGATGAAGAGGATTCAGAGGAGCTGGGTGGAGGAGGTAGTGGTGGGACGCCTCCAGGACGCTGAAAAAAGTGAAAAAAAGATGAAAAAACAAAACAGTTAATCAAAAAACTCGAAAAAATTAAATCAGTGGGTATAAGGGGGTTTAAAATATATTAAAAAACACTTACACGACCAGTACTGGGTCCTGAAGAAGGATCGTCCAGGTCAATTGGTGAGGGAAACTGTAAAGATAACTGAAAAGCAGAAAGAAAAAGATGAAATCAAAAATTAGTTAATTATCGAGTCAGAGTTCGAAGTAAAAAATGGTACTTACTGCCATAACAGGTGTTTCTTGGTTGGTGATGGTGGTGGTGGAGGTGGTGGACATATTTGAGTCCTGGTTGGGAGGTGGGCTGGCCTGGAAAGAAAAAAAATCACAAAAAAAGGGTTAATTAATGATTAATTACTAATTAATTAAAAAAACACTCACCATGATTTCAAAAAACAAACATAAATAATAACAATCAGAGCATGTGCAACAGACTTTTTAACAGCCAATCAGAAGATGGAGCTGTTTGGGTTTTATCTTCTTGTATTGATTATACCTTCAAGGAATGGAAGTAGACATGTCGATGGTGTGGCCTTAGAACCGATGATAAGGACAACATTAATGAACACGAGAGAAAATGCAACCTGGCAGTAAGGTGTTCAAATGATGTATGGTTTTGTATGGTGATTGAGACAGTGACCTGTGTCAAAGCGACTGGAATCATCTGAGATTGTGTATTATTTGAGGTTGTTTTTCCAATAACACCTTATAACCTTAATTATGATTGGCTAAATCATGCTACATTTGTAAAGTCCTTAGGTAAATCACAAATATTGTAATCAATAGAAATAGTTCCTTTTGAAGGCTCAATAAGTCGGAATAATGATAAAGTGATTTTCTAGCTCCAGTTCTGCCAACAATTCCAATCTTTTCTTTGGATTGGGGGAAATAATTTCAGGTTTCAGTCATAATTTAGGGTTAAATTGCCAGAAATCCCTGACGAATGAATCAATATGATAAGTTCATCATTCATGAATAAACTTCACTTAAATTGTCCCAAAGTTCAAGAGTGACATTCTCATTTTGAAGTGTGGCGCATCGATACATTGATTTTTTAAACTGTCTTCAATTAGATTATTTGAACAGGTAACGGGTGTAAATGATAGTAGTAATACAGATACACAATCTAACACATTTTTATTGATCTTTGATCGGTAAAAGTCATGATGAATTGTCAACTGAATTGAGGTCAAGTGATCAAAGAATTAAAAATAACAATATAATTCCAAAAATATTGTTAAACATGAATACTGGGTTATCAAAAGTCAC